CCTGATTCACATTTAATCAAGTTTTTGTTTTTCTTTTTTAAATGTTTCTATCCTCGGTAGTAGAAAATGAGAAAATGTTCTACTCTTTATTGTGTTTGCAAATTTTGGTGCCTTGGGCAAGCCACCAGTGCTTTAGTTGTAATGAGTTTTGTTCTTTGTCTGCTCTAGACCTTGACATGAGTGCCTTGAAGATAGAAATGGTGTGTATTTATCTTTTTAGCCCTGTGTCTGTTGTGAAGCTAGCAGTAGGCCCTCAGTAAATATTCGTGGAATGAAAGGATGGGTGGAGGAAGTAACCCAAGTGCCCATGATGGGTGAAGAGAGAAACAAACTGTGGTGAATACCTACGATGAAATGTTATTCAGCCTGAAAAAAGGACATTCTGACACATGTTACAACATGAACAGACCGTGAGGTAATTATGCTCAGTGAAATAAGTCAGTCACAAAAAGAAAAATACTGTCTGAGTCCACTTATAGGAGGTAACTACAGTCTTCAAATTCATTGAGACAGGAAGTAGGAGGGCTGTTTCCAGGGGTCTGGGAGGAGGTGGGAATGGGAAGCTTTTGGAAAATTACAGGTTCTGCTCTCTTCCCCTTCCCTCATCCTGCCTTGGTTGGTCCACAGCCAGGCACTGTGTGTTTATCAAAGCTCTCCAGGGGATCCTCATGTGCGGCCAGAGCTCACAAGACCCGGTGATGCCCAACAACCCTCTGGGCCAGGTGACCATGAGTAGGGGCCACAGGCATGGCCTGAGCTCTCAGGAATAGCCGCCGGGCTCAGGATCCCCTTCACAGTGAAGGGTAGGCCGCCCTAGAAGTGTCACAATTAAAGCCTCTAATTTTGGAACAGAGGAGCTATTGAAGAGAAGAGCGATACTGAACTCTCAGAAACGGTTCTTACTTCTCCCACGCTGCCTCTTTAGCTAGAGACATCTGCTTCCATCCCCGCAGGACGCAGGGATCCTGAGGCCCTCTGTTTCCTTGAAACCAGCCTGCTTACTCGAAACAGCTTTTGCTTGGCTGCCATTTGATTTGATGGAACGGTGCTCTACCCAGGGGGACAAAAATGAGGACTGTGGGCTTTGCAAATAAAAATAACTAAATTAAGGGCTCACATTTTTCCAGCCACACTTGTGAACTTGAGGCCCATGTCTGCAATGACATGTATGAATGAGTACTGCTGACATCTCTGTACCCTCTGTCCTAATTTCTTTTTATTTTTATCTATCTATATTTCTTTTTTTTTTTGGCTGTGCAGCGTTGTATGCGGGATCTTAGTTCCCTGACCAGGGATCAATCCCGTGCCCCCTGCAGTGGAAGTGTGGAGTCCTAACCACTGGACCGCCAGGGAATTCCCTCTATCTTTCTTTCCATCCATCTATCTTTCTATCTATCTACCAATTAAAATGCTTATTGCTCATCCACGGTGAAATGTTTACTTCTGATTTTTTTTAAATTTTTGTTGAAATATAGTTGATTTTCAATGTCGTGTTAGTACCAAGTATACAGCAAAGTGATTTTTATATATGTATATATGTATAGATATATATTCTTTTTCAGATTCTTTTCCCTTATAGGTTATTACAAGATATTGAGTATAGTCCCCTGTGCTATACAGTAGGTCCCTGTTGGTTATCTATTTTATTTCTAGTACTGTGTATATTTTAATCCCAAACTCCAAATTTATTACCACCCCCCCAGATTTTAAGGATGAAAAGTGGCTTCATAAAGCCTGCCCCCAAACTTCTCATCACCTCTCCCCATTTCCTCTTACTTTCGGGGCATGTAGGAGGCTCTGCTCTCAGACAGTGAAAGGGAAGATGGATGAGTTATAAACTCTTCCAAGGTCTGTTTCAACTCTGATGTTCTAAACTCTGCTCCTTCTAAACAAGGAACTCTGTTTAATTTTTAACCTGGGGTTTCTTGAATTCTTAAGGTAATGTGTCTTGAAGGGGTCTATATACCTAAAAAGCATAAGAATCTTCTTGGAGGTCTGTGAGTTCTCCCGTTTTTGGCGGTGAAAGCATCTGGTATACGGTAGGTGCCCAGCGCGTGGTGATTTCGCTGAACTGCCAGTTTTTTTGTGGTGGAAAATTCTCCTGTCCTTCCACGTCAAGGAGATGTCTCTCCTCTTCCACTCTTTGTGGCTGAGGAGGGAGGCAGAAGAGTTTACGAGGGAGTTGGGATCAGAACAGGAAATTCCTGAGAGGACCACTGCATTACATGAATTGAAGTAAAACATGGTCCTCTAAAGTAAAACAGCCTCCAAACACCTTTGCTCTAAACTTCCCGTGATGGTGCCCCGTAAACTTTGACTGATGTCAAAGTACATAATGTAAGAACGTTTTTCTCTTCCATATATAATGTATGGGTGGAGCCAGGTGGATGATGGTTTCCCGGCAGAGCTTTCACAGGCCAGCAGTGATGCAGGTGAACGGTCCCATGCATGCTGGGGAAGGGGAGGGGCGTCCATGAAAGAGCCGGGGGCCCGGGGGACAAGCCAAGTGTTATCTCATTTAATCCTCCAAAACTTCCCGGGCATGAAGTATTCTTATCTCCCTCTTACAGATGAAGACAACAGGCTGGAACAGTTTAATAGCCTGCCCGGTAAGGCTGTAGCCATGTGGGAGGCTCCCACAGATTTGGGCTCCAATCCTGCTTTACCACTTACTGATCATGTTACCTCAGGCACATTGGTTAAATTCACAGCCTTAAGTTTCCTCTTTATCAGTAAAATGGGACAATGGTGGTACCTTCCTGGGGCAGAGCCTGCAGGCCGGCCCCTTCTCTAGAATTAAAACTGTGCTTTCATGATTTTTTTATTCTAAATTTTTGGGGTTTTTTTATTTTAAATTTTTATACAATTTTTAAAGGTTACTTTCCATGTGCAGTTATAAAATATTGGCTATATCCCCATGTTGTACAATACATCCTTGAGTCTACCTTACATCCAATAGTTTGTACCTCCCACTCCCCCACCCCTATATTGCCTGTCCCTCCACCCCACTGGTAACCACTAGTTTATCCTCTGTATCTGTGGATCTGCTTCTTTTTTGTTGTATTCACTCGTTTGTTGCATTTTTTAGATTCCACTTATAAGTGAGATCATACAGTATTTGTCTTTCTCTGTCTGACTTACTTCACTTAGCATAATGCCTCCATTCATATGGCTCCAAATGGCAAAATTTCATTCTTTTTCATGGCTGAGTAATAGTCCATTGTATATGTATACACCACATCTTCTTTATCCATTCATCTGTTGATGGACACTTAGGGCCTTCCATATCTTGGAACTTGTAAATAATGCTGCTATGAACACTGGGGTGCATGTATCTTTTCAAATTAGTGTTTTTGATTTTTTTCAGATATATCCCCAGAAGTGGGATTGCTGGATCATACTGTAGTCCTATTTTTAGTTTTTTGAGAAACCTCCGTACTGTTTTCTGCAGTGGCTGCACCAATTTACATTCCCACCAACAGCGTAGGATGGTTCCCTTGTCTCCACACCCTCACCAACATTTGTTGTTTGTGTTCTTTTTGATGATAGCCATTCTGACAGGTGTGAGGTGATAGCTCATTGTGGTAAAACTGTACTTTTTGATGTGGAACGGCCATCAACATTAAAGGCTGCCTTTCTCATCTTGCCTTGTAGCAAAGTGTGCCCATGACTACATTTTAGCAAATATGATAAGAGCAAATAGCAAGAACATCTTCTAGCACCTGTCCTTAAAAGGCAGCTGGCACGTGCCCATCGCTGCGGTTACTTCTCCCTTCTCTTCCTTCTCCTCCTTTCTTGTTCCCTAACCTTTCCTGCTGGCTGCAATGTAGTCATGATGGCTGGAACTGGAGCAGCTATTTTGGACTGAGAAGATGAGTCTCCAACATACACAGGGTGGCTTTGGTGTAAGGCCCTGTGTCTCACAGGTATCCTCTGATTCCTTGGCTTATCAGGAGGAATAATCCACTCGACTTGGGCAGCCTGAGTTGGGAAGGCAAAAGACCCTCTGGAATGGCTGCTTTGTTCGTGCCCTGCAGGGCCAGAGCAGGCTCAGAGGGAATAGAAAACGAGGGACTCGTCTTTACTGCCCCAGGTTTAGCTGCCTGACCTGGTACTGTACTTGGGATGCCGGGTCCAAAGGCTGGAGTTTGTCCTGATAACCGTGTCTGAGCACTCCCAGTGGAAACCCACTTCCTTCCCCCCAGGAAATGATGGGCTCAGGTGCACTAGTTAACACAGACACAGAAGGGAAGGTCCAGCTGCAATCTTCTCCAGCATCCCTCCCTCCCCTCCATCTCTGCTGCTTCACCAGCCTGTCTTTTCACTGCCAGGGGCTGTTTGGAGAGGACATGGGGTTGGAATTCCTATTTCAGAGACTTTGCTCCATCTTTGGGGCTGGCACAAAGTTCTTCAGAGTGACTTTTTCAAAAACAAAAATCAGATGAGGCCACTTCCATGCTTAAACCTATCCACTGTCTTCCCATGGTAATTAGGTAAAATTTGAAATCGTTTCCTTGTCTGAAAGACTGATTATTTTTGTTGATTTCTCACCACCACTCCCTTTGTTCTTTTCTCACTTCCTTAAAATCAGCAAGTTCTTTTCTGCCTCAGGGCGTTTGCACTTGCGACACCCTCTGTCTGGAATGCACTCCTTCTCAACATTTAGTCTCAGGGAGCCCTCTCCAGACCAGTGATCACTGCTTCAATATTCCCCACTGATTTCCTGCGTACTTATCATAATCCATACTTATTTCGTTAGCTTATCTTCTTGTTTGTATACTGTCTGTCTCTCTAACCAGAGGGTAAGCCCCACGAGTGCAGGGACCTTGTAGGGCAGGGAGGGTGATGCTCATCTCATAGAACTCTTGTGCACATGAGACGTGATGGTGTATATGAACCAGCTGGCACACAGAATTTTTTTGGGGGTAATTATGCTCTAAACATATGTTTGAAATCTAATTATTCATCTTTTATTTTATTTCCCATGTTTTATCTCACAGAGATAGAGACTGCCAAAAGATCAGGGAGGCATTCAGGAATGCATTTATCTCTAAGGACCCCTGCAGTGCGACAGAGGAAGACTACCACCCACTGATGAAGCTGGTGAATCCAACTGTGCCTTGTGACAAGGTAACTGGGTCAAGTTATGGATTTAAAAACTGAAGATAAAAGTCAAAGGGAAGAGGTCACGGGACCACTTTTTTTTTTTTTTATTGCGGTACGCGGGCCTCTCACTGCTGTGGCCGCTCCCGTTGCGGAGCACAGGCTCCGGACGCGCAGGCTCAGCGGCCATGGCTCACGGGCCCAGCCGCTCCGCGGCATGTGGGATCCTCCCAGACCAGGGCACGAACCCGTGTCCCCTGCATCGGCAGGTGGACTCTCAACCGCTGCGCCACCAGGGAAGCCCATGGAACCACATTTTGACCAGGATGAGGGAAGAGGAAAATCTGTATATTAGGATGTAGGCATGGTTGGCAGGGAGGGAGCTTGGGGTCCATTGGGAGACCAGGATGTCATTGGGATTTAGAACATCTGGGGACTGGAGGTAAGAGAGAGAACTGGGGACAGAGAAAGAGGAAAGGAGAGTCGGACAAAAGTCAGGCAAAACAAACCTAACACAAACCCCAACCCAATCCAAACAAAAATAATCCACCTTATAGAACTGCAAAGCTCTCCCTGACCTCCAATGATGACGATGATGACGACAATGCCATTTTGCATTTGCTGAGGGCCTTTTCTTGCTTCCAAATGACTTTCTGAACCTTTATCCTGTTAGGTTTTCACAGTCAACTTGTGGAATAGGTAGGTCAGACATCAGCAATCCCATTTCACTAGAGAGAAAACTGAGGCTTGGCAAGTTTAGGTGACCAGTGATTACTCAAGTTTGATGGTCTTGAAAGTGACCAGTTGAAATGTAAATGACCCAAGATTTAGAGCCATAGAGGCCTGGGTTTTAATACATTAATTATACTGGAAAAGGTCTGTAATGGAGTGCATCTTTTCTAAAGTCAGTGTTTAGGGTGAAAATTCAATGTGCCCCAAATCATCTTCACGAAGCCCTTAAGACAGCCACACATTACAGTCTCCTCCCATTGTTAGAGCTGGAGCGACTATGGAGCTCCGGGGTGTACACCGAGCCCAAAGCCCAACACAGAGTAGCTGCTGGTAAATCATCACCAGGGGACACTGGCTGAATAAGTGACTGCCCACAGACACAGGACAAACACCATATTTGCATTGTCTCATTTCATCTCAGCATCTTAGGACTTCCTTACAATTATTATCAATACCTTTTACAGATGGGGAAAGTGAGGCTTAGCAATTCTTTGGTTGTCCAAGGTCAGACAGCCAGTGAGCAGTGATGCTGGGTTTCATAAGGCAGCATAACTCCACGGCCCCGGCTTCAAACCTCCACTGCCTCCTACTAAGAATGAGTAGATTCCATGGAAGAGAAGATTGTTCTGAAATTTGACTTTCTGCACCTTTACAAGGGACCCTGCAAAAACTCACTATATTTGTTCTTTTCCCTTTTTTGTAAGGAGATAGGGGAATTTCGGGGAAAAAAGCAGGGGTTATGGAGCTGTTTAAGAATCAAAGGGCACTTCTCCCAGAAAATAGCACTTAGAAAAAATTGTTTTGCCGAGAACTTTAGGAATTTGGGACTACCTAATGCCTCCCCCAGATGTGTTTGGAGCTTAGGTTTATTATAAGATTTTGATCAGTGGCTTTCAGACTTTTTTCCCTGCAATCCAGAATAATAACTTCATTTTACATCATGACCTAGAGAACACACACACACACACACACACACACACACACCCTCCACACATGTACTCTCTCTCATTCTCACACACAGAGATCCGTGAAACCCGCAACACCTACTCTTACTATAGGTGATTTATTCTGATGTTTCCTATGTTTTCTTTCATTTAAAAAGATGCAAATTCGGTGGAGTTTTTTTGACTTAGTAAATTGATCTCAATAATAGATTGTCTTTATTCTCTCTTAGACAGTCTTTTGGAGCAAAACCAAGGAGTTGGCGCATCAGTACACGAAGGTCCAGCGAGAGCTGTTCACCCTGGAAGACACACTGCTGGGTTACATTGCGGATGACCTTAACTGGTGCGGAGATACAGGCTCTTATGGTGAGGATCTGGTCCACTTGGGGTCGCCTGGGGACATGCAGGGTGCAGGAGCCCTGAGCTCTGCTAGGGATCCCAGAAGATAAGTGTGGAGGAAGGAGCCACAGGTGCCCACCCTGATGGCATCTATACCCTTAATGACAACTGAGGCTCATGTAAAACAGAATTCTGTAGACCAACTCATGTTTTCTAGAAAAATTGACTTCAGAGTTTAGGGCTGTTCATGCTTCCTGATTCCCTCCTTTCTGAGTGCAAGAGTAGCCTGCTTCTGAATTGTTGGTGTTTTACTTTCTATAAGGGCATCATTCAGGACCAAAGAATTCTAGAACAGAATGAGGACTCCGAGGGAACCAGGCCAAAGTCCTTGTTCCACAGAACAGCCATAGGGACCACATGCTGGGCTTCTCTGTGTCTAGGGCCAGTGTGTGGCTTTGCCATTCATCAGAGGTCACCTTCCTTGCCCAGAAAGACCCAGAACACCTCACTGTGGGGAGATGTTTTCTACTGAGAAAGCCCGATTGAGATCATTTCACTTCTTTTTTTCTCTTTTTATTTATAATGTGGATATTTTTACTTTATATAGTTTTATTCTTATTTTTATTGCTTTTGACTATTTAAAAAAACTTATTGCAGTAGCTTCTTCAACCCAGATTTGCATTATTTCCAATTGCAAAAAAGATGTACTCTTTTTTTTTTTTTTTTTTTTTTTTTTGCGGTACGCAGGCCTCTCACTGTTGTGGCCTCTCCCATTGCAGAGCACAGGCTCCGGACGCGCAGGCTCAGCAGCCATGGCTCACGGGCCCAGCCGCTCCGTGACATGTGGGATCTTCCCGGACCGGGGCACGAACCCACATCCCCTGCATCGGCAGGTGGACTCTCAAACACTGCGCCACCAGGGAAGCCCAAGATGTACTCTTAATTGAAAAATACTTGCATATACAGAAATGCATCAAAGTAAAAAGTAAAAATTCCATTTCCCCCAATCCTCAATTTTCATGCTCCTTCCCAGAGGGGGACTGTTGTCAACAATTTGGTACATACCCTGCATTTCCCTGCGCTTATATAAATACATACAGATCTTCCTTATGTCCCCATAAACCCATCATAAGTTGAAAATATCATAAGTCAGGAATGCGTTTAATCCACCTAGCCTACTGAACATCGTAGCTTAGCCTAGCCTACCTTAAATGTGCTCAGAACACTTCCATTAGCCTATAGTTGGGCAAAGTCACCTAACGCAAAGCCTATATTATAATGTTGAATAGCTTATGTTATTTGTTGAATACTGTACTGAAAGTGAAAAGCAGAATGGTTGTCTGGGTGTAGAGTGGTTGTATGTGTCTTGGTTATTTACCCGCTGGCTGGCGTGGCTGCCTGGGAGCTGAGGCTCACTGCCGCTGCCCAGCATCACGAGAGAGGATCAGACCCCATATCACCACTCTGAGAAAAGATCAAAATTCAAAATTCAAATTATGGTTTCTACTGAATGCATATTGCTTTTACACTGTCAAAAAGTTGAAAAATCCTAAACCCAAGCATCGCAAGTCGGGGACAGTCTGTATATTTGAAATGTACACATGCTGTTTTGCAACTTGCTTTATTCATTTTAAATTGGTAGGTATAAATACAGCCATATTTTTTAAAAAGGCCTCATCTTATGTGCTCTATGGACATATCATAATTTATCTGAACAACCTCCGAATGATGCACACTTAGGTTTTTCAGATGTTTTTGCTGTTACAACCACCATCGCAAGGAGCACTTTTGTACACGCACATGAGTGCACACACACACAGGCATGCTTGTGGAAGTATTTCTGAAAGATAAATGTCTACGGGTGGAATTTCAGTGTGGAATAAATTGTGGTGGAAAGTGACAAATTGTTATTCGAAAGGTGGTAACAATTTATACTCTCAAAATATATGAGATAATCTGTTTACCCAGACCCTCACCAACACTGGACATTAATACTTTAAAAAATGTCTTGCCATTTTGATAAAGAAATAATACCTCGGCTTATTTTTGCATTTCTTTTGCTGTGAAGCTGAGTATATTTGTATATTTAATGGTGGATATTTCTATTTCTATTGTAAACTGGCAGTTCATATATATTAACCCTTTTTATTGGGATGTCTATTATTTTCTTATTTATAGAAGTTCAATATAAATTAACAATAGTAGTTACTGCTTATGAGCCGTTGTTCTATGTGCTGTATGAATATTCACCCATTTAATCCTTCACAACCCCTGTGATGATCTCATTGTACAAAGGAGGAGTCTGAGGCACAGGGCTGTTAAGTAGGTTGCCGGCTAGTGAGTGGCAGAGCTGGGAGAGACCCACGATTACTGGCTGTAGAACTCGTGTTCTTAACCACGTGTCATCCTGCCTGTTTTCTGGCACAAAGGTGGCAAATCTATTTTTCTCAGTTTCTGTTTTTTTGCTAATACTGTTTATATTGTCTTTTGCCACGCAGAAATGCAACAAATCTGTCTATCCTTTCCTATTTGGCTGTTGGGTTCCATATTTTGCTTAAATTCTTCTTACTCAAGATTGGAGAGTTTTCTATATTTTCATCTAGTGTTTTTATTTTGTAACTTTTCAATTAATCTTTAATCCAGACTCTTTGCACCTAGAAATATGGCATATAAATATATCTCTCCATTTACTCTTTTTCTTTTTGGTTAACTTTTATAGTTTTTGCCATATTTCTTGCTTTCCTTTTTAAATTTCCCTTATTGCAAGTTAGCTTTTCAAGGTCATTCATTTAACCCTTTTAGCTTAAATGTATTTCCTATAAACTTTGCTTTATTTTTCAATATACCACGTCAGTTCTTTCTTAGAAAGGATTGGAAAAATAAAAAAATCTATTTCTCATCAGTTTACCTTTTAGAGCTCTTTATTTTTGCTTTCTATTCAACTGAATCCTGTATAGGTTGTTTTATTCTGTCTACTTCCTTCTCCTTTGGCCTCAATTTTTATTGATTTTAACCTCTTTTCCTTATTTTATTTGCTGTCTTTCTGGTTCCTAATTTTTATATTTTAATTGTTCTATTGTCTGGCTTAAACACTTTTTCCTTAATTTTTTTCTACCTTGGTTTTGCCTTGTTTACTTGTTTTATTATGAAAGTCATAGTTTCTGTTATAAGCTTCTAATCTCTCCCTTTTTTTAACTTCTTATTCTGCTTTTTTTATATACTTAATTTATCTTACTTTATTGTAAAGTTTCTCTCCTTTTCTTTTTCTCTGTGATGTTCAAATTTTATTTAATGGGCAGGTGGCAAGGGGGAGCATCCTTGTGGGGAGAGGGTAGGTGAAACTCAGAGACTTCTCTCCAGATATGGTTGTGAAGATAAAAGAGCTTTATGTTCATGAAAACCTATGAACAGGGGCACCCTTGTAGCACCTTACAAAATTATGTTCATTTCATCATCGTCAGCATTTTTGCATCTATTGGAGATGATTCAAATTTATCTTTTGACTCCGCAGTAATTATTTACATCTGTACATGGATTTTTTTCCTAATTTGTACTGTTTTGTTTTTAATGCATTTAATTATTATAAAAACTCCCAGGATTACTTCCTCATCCCCGGAAGTGTTTCTGATCTAGAACTTTCTTTCTGGTCATTGGCAGTCAAGCCCACGTCTGTGGTTATATTATTTTACTGCGGCTGCCGTAACGAGGTACCACATATTGGGTGGCATTAAAACAATAGAAACTTATTTTCTCACGGTTCTGGAGGCTAGAAGTCCTAGATCAAGGTGTTGGCTGGGCTGTGCTCTCTCTGAAGGCTCCAGGGGAGAGTCCTTGGCCTCTTCTAGCTTCTGGTGTTTGCTGGCAACCCTTGGTGCTCCTTGTTTCACGCCAGTCCCTGCCTCCATCTTCACATGGCTGTCTTCTCCCTGTGCATCTTGTGCTTGTCTGTCTCTGTGACCAAACTTCCCTTTCTTATAAGAAGAGCAGTCTTATTGGATTAGGACCCACCCACCCTAATGATCTCATTTTGACCTGATTACATCTGCAAACACCCTTTTCCAAAAAAAAGATCACATTCCCAGGTACTGGGGGTTAGGGCTTCAACATATCTTTTGGGGGTACACGATTCAACCTAAAACAAAGTGGAAGTAGAAAGATGGGTATTTGTGCAGGGTCAGCTGTACGCGTACCCACAGCGGAAGTAGGTGGCTGCCGCATGCCTGACCTCTGGGATACCAAGAGAGGGTTCCAGGGCTTCTCACCCCGCACTTCCCCTACCTGCTGGATGATGCAAAGTTGAGGTGAGACAATCCCAGACTCTGCCTTCATTCTTACTCCATCCTCTTCTGCCATTCCCAATCTGTCACCAACTAGTCATTTACCTATAGCAGTTCATCCTTTCTTTCCTGTGCCTGTTACAACTGCCTGAATCCAGATCACTAACGCCCCCTCCTTTCTTGCTGGACTGTTGTCGGATCCCAACTGCTCACCCCTGACCCCTTTAGGTCAGCCTCCGTCTGGACACCACAATGGAATTGTTTCTGTCTCTTACTTAAAACCCAAATAGCTCTGTTTGCCTCTAAGATACAGTCGGAATTCCTTGGCCTGGCCTGGCCTTTGTCTTTCATATGCCTCATCTTCCATCTATCCCCTCCTTATCCCTTCTACTCTGGCGGTACAAATCTAAACCCGGTGCCTTTGCACATGCTCTCTCGGCATGGAGCCCCTTTCTCTAGCGCGTCTGTCTGAAGACTTCTATTCATCCTGCAAAACCAAGTTCAACGTCAACCTTCCCACATGGTGCTGCACACCACCCCCAACCCAAGTTGCTCTTTCTCTGATTTATTTGATTATAGTAGATTATGTGGCCTCTGAAGGCAGGCCCTTTATCTAATTCATCTCTCTATCTCCAGGGCCTAACGCTCAATAAATGTTTGTGTAGTCAAATGCAATGGATAAAGCAAATGTGATATATATATATATATATACATATATATGTATATATATATGTATGTACATATATGTGTATATGTATATATATGTGTATATATATGTACGTATATATATGTAAATACACACACACAATGGAATATTATTCAACCTTTAAAAAGAAGGAAATCCCATAATTTGTGACAACACTGTGAAACTGGAGAACTTTATGCTAAGTGAAATAAATCAGACAGAAAAAGACAGATACTGCATGGTATCACTTATATGTGGAATCAAAAAAAAAAAGGTGGAACTCATAAAGACAGAGCAGATAAGTGGTTTCCAGAGGCTGGAAAGTGGAGGAAATAGGGAGAAGTTGGTAAAAGGGTACAAATTTTCATTTATAAGACAGATAAGATCTGAGAATCTAAGGTGTAACATGGTGACTATAACTGTTAACTCTGTATTGTGTAATTGAAATTTGCTAAGAGAGTAAAACTTCAAAGTTCTCATCAAAAAAAAAATAGAATATGAGGTGATAGACATATTAATTAACTTGATGGAGAATCTTTTCACAATGTGTATGCATATCAAATCATTACACTGTACCATTTAATTATCTTACAATTTGATTTGTCAATTATACCTCGATAAAAAAATTAAAAAAAATAAATGCTGGTGCGTTAAAGCAGATATCCTTGGAAGAAGTATCACAGAAACTATGTGTTCATGCCTTATGTCTGTGGTTCCTCACTGACAGCTAAGCCTGTCTGGATGGGGCGAGTATAGAAAGACTCTGAGGGCATCTGAGCCTAAGGGTGTGGAGACAGAAGGTGGTGGGGGAGGAAATTATCTCTAATTCTTCCTGGAAGCGGAAATAATACGGGGGGGCTTGTCTCTGTCAGATGAACTTTTGCTGTAATTTCCCAGAATGATGACTCAAAGCTGGTCACTGTGTTCCTGTCTGGGATTTGGAGGGTAAGGTAAGGACTTGGAAGGGATTCAGGGGGCACTTAGTTAAATTGGGTTGAGATGTGTCCATTCTCCATCCTCCATCTTGGCAGGGATGCCACTGGAAAGCAGCTCCACTGGGATCCAATAGCCCGCGAAGAACAGAGATCAATTATACCTTTTCTTTTCCACTTTAATTACTTTTCTGTAAACTATGTCTTTTAGAAATGAACTATCAATCTTGTCCACACTGGAAGAAAGACTGCAGCAACAACTTTGTTTCTGTATTCTGGGACTTGGTGTCCAAAAGGGTAAGTATCACAAGTGAAATTCTAGAATCTTGGAGACCAAAGAGCTTAAGAGGTCATCCAGTAAGTGGTTGGTTTTAACTCATTTGGGTCACAGATCATTTTAGAAACAGAAGTTTAGTATTCTTTCCTCAGAAAAATGTTCATAAGCACATGCTAGAATATTTTCATGTGTAATTTGTGGGCATTCGTGGAAGGTCGCTGAGCTCTATTTGAAGACTTCTTGCTCTTATCCATTTTTTGGCTTTGGTTGCCCATCTCTGGGTTTTTTAAATCCTCTGATCCTGGTATTGGCCAATCTTAGGTTCCTGGGACAGTCTTAATAATCTACATTTGCAGACCGTTTACTGTGTGCCAGGCACAGTCCTCAGGTCTTTACATGGATTAAAATCTTTCATCCTCACCGGAACCCTATGAAGTAGGCACCATGAGTATCACATCCATTTTATAGGTGACAAAATGGAGGTGCAGGTAAATAAGCCTTCTACTAAATGTACACAGGAAGTGGCAGATCTAGGTGTTTATCCAAATTGTCTGACTCCAGATCCAGAATCCAGGCTGGGAAATACCATCCTCCCCGCTATCTATTTCTGACCCCACTCTAAGCTGTCTTTGTGCATATTTATCTTTCTTGTAAGTTGCTTATTTGTAAGCGGACAAGGGAAAAAAAGGGAAAGAAAGGAAGAAAGGAAAGAAATGAATGGAAAACACGGGAGAAAATGAAACTACGCTACTTAGAATTCTCCAAAATTAAACTCAGACATCAGAGGAGCTGGGCGAAGTGAGAACTCACATATGTTAAGTGCATATTCATGACAAGTCCTGGGCCAGTTGTGTCACCTGTGTCATTTTGTTTAGTCATCACAACAGGTGGCACGAGAAGGTACAAATGTCCACGTTCCAGGTGAGGAAACTTAAGAGGTTAAGTGACTCATTCAAAGTCAATGGGCTAGTGAATAGCAGAGCTGAGAGCCTCACCTACCTTAAGGAGGTTCAGGTAAACCCTGGTATGGTTTACCTGAATGCATTCCTTTAACAAATATTTGTAGAGTACCTACTGTGTGCTGTGAAAATCAGAGGCACTGCAGAGTTTTTGGTTGTCGTTGTTTGTTTGCTTTTCCTGAGAATAGTTTCTATTCATGTTATCGCTCTGTGATCTGTTTGGTGGCAGTGCTGTTGCTGAAAACGTTGAAAGCCAAGTCACATTTTGTATGTGTCAAGCGCCTACCTGTGTTCCTCACACTGTCCTTGGAGCCAGGAGCACAGGAAAATGAAGGAAGGTGCTCTACCATTGTGAGCTCCCCTGGGACTGCACCTTTATCTCGGCCAAGTTCTCATAGCTAGATGGATGTAAATGGGCTTCTTTCATCCGACTTGATCTTTTCTTTTTCTGACACCAGAGGCAGTGCTGCTTGGTGGTTTGGATCCCCCCGCCCCCTCCGTCTCCCCCGCAACCCCCCCACCGGCTCATTTCCTTGCTTCCAAGTGATGTGACCTTGGGGCAAACTGACCCAAGATTTACTCTGCGGGGGCTGTTGAGACTTACATAGGACAGGGTTAGTGCTTGACACCCATTCTGCTGGGTTAGCACTTGTGATTGATAGTAATCGGGCCTCTGTCCTCTGCTCATCACCCCCAGGAGAAAGACCGACACCACACAGGATTTTCACAATTCCCTTTCAAATTGTTCAGTAGTGTTTTATCTCCTGCGGAATAAAGGCCAGATTCCTTGGCAAAGCATTCATGGCCCTCTGTGAACTCACTAATCTACCTAGCTTCAGCATCCACTGAAGTTTTCCCCCAAACATCACTCCTCTCGCAAGCTCCTGGGCCTTTTGGTTTGCGTCTGCCTCGACCTCTACCGGGCAGAATCTGATTCATCCTTCAGGACTTGGCTTCTGTTGTCCTGGGTTCTTCCATACTCTCCATCGCAGAGTATTTGGACCTCTTGCCTCCCCTTTCCCTTGCCTCTTCTCCATGCGTGGATTCTCCCTGGGTGCCCTAGCTGCGAGGCTCCAGCGCTGCAGTGGCGAGCGGGACAGCCTGGCTCACAGCTCTCACAGAACTCTCGGTACCGGTGGCTAACCCCGCGTTAAGCTCAACCTCACAATGCGGTATAGTTGTATAATGTGTGAAGGAGACCTGAGCTAGTCCCAGGGATCTGGATGCGCCTCCTGGAGGAAACAAGTATATTGCTTAGTTTTAAAACCCCTTGCTCAAAAATATACACTCATCCATTCCCCGTTTCTCTTTATGCCTTTGCAGGTTTCAGTGTCACCATGTCTCCACGGTTTCTTTTTTCTTGACATTTTCTTTTTTCTTTCTTCATTTCTTTTACTCCTTACGTGTCTACTCTGCTCCCACGAAATGAAATGTGCAGTGTCTACAGTGCATGGCCCCAAGAAAGTGCTTTTACCTTCCTCCTTCCTCCTTATGTTGCTCTTAGTCATCCGGACTTCCACCTTTTTTTTTTTTTTTTTCTTTTTTTTTTTGGCCGCACTACGTGGCATGTAGGATCTTAATTCCCTGACCAGGGATCGAACCCACACCCGCTGCATTGGAAGCACTGAGTCTTAACCCCTGGACTGCCAGGGGGGTCCCTGGACTTCCACCTTCTGAACCACCAATTTAGCAGTGATGATGTTGAACTTCATTGTTCAGACACAGATTGTAGCAACTGCTTCCAGAAAACTCTCATGGGAAGCATAATCCCTCCAATGGCTTGGGATGAAAATTACACAGATCTGGCCTGACCAAGCTAGAGCCATACAGGCCGTTCCTCCTTCACCAGATGATGCTAAGAGCTGTTTGGGATGGAAGTGCTGGGGCGTGACACTTAAGTTTGCATGCTGAGGAATGGTGTTTCTGTTCTTAAGTTTGCAGAAAATGCCTGTGGTGTGGTCCAGGTGGTGCTCAATGGATCCATCAGTAACGCCTTTGATAGAAAGAGGTACTTATTTCTTTGCATCTTATTTGTAAGGGTTAGCACAGTCTCCTATTGACCAATTCATCTTTAGAAGAATATGCTTTTCATGTTGAAGGTCAGTACTGAATCCGGGCTAAAAAAGGTAAAATGTTTGTATTCTATGGTGAGCTTTGTCTTTCGAAGTCAACACTTTTGTCTGGTTTCTCCATTGTTTAAAATCCTCCAAAAGTCCTAATGGTCCTTGCACGTGTCCAGCTCCTCCTCTTGGCTTTACGACGCCTGCTATAATCTTCTCAGCTCTCTCTCCCATGACACTCCATCCTGCCCATTTTCCACCTTTGTTCACGCTGCTCCCCCATATGACCTGGCCCCTCCTTCCTTCTGACTGTCTAAAGTCTTACCATCCACGAAGATCTGCCCGACTCCTCTCTCCTCCCTGGACGGTATGAATCCCAAGTCAGCAGTAAGTCTACTATTGGGAACAGCAGGAGCTCTGCTGGGCGTTTGACCTTCATTACCTCTTTGCAGACAGTGTCAGTGGTTTATTATAGTGGTTAAAAGTGGGGACTCCAGAGGTCATGACATCTCACCTATGTGACCTTACCAGGGCCCCTGTAGTATGTATGTACCTGAGGAGGTGCTGGTGATATGAAGATTAACTGGGATAATGTATGAAAAATGCTGAGCCCTGTGCCTGACAGAGAAAGTGCTGGATGAGTATCAGTTATTGTCCTCTCCTTTGTTTTTTATTTTTTTATTAATTTTTAAAAATTATTTAATTTATTTTTGGCTGCGTTGGGTCTTTGTTGCTGCGCGGGCTTTCCCTAGTTGCGGCGAGTGGGGGCTACTCTTCGTTGTGGTGCACGTGCTTCTCATTGCAGTGGCTTCTCTTGTTGTGGAGCACGGGCTCTAGGCACGCAGGCTTCAGTAGTTGTGACACGTGGGCTCAGTAGCTGTGGCTTGCGGGCTCTAGAGTGCAGGCTCAGTAGTTGTGGCACACGGGCTTATTTGCTCCACGGCATGTAGGATCTTCCCGGACCAGGGCTCGAACCCGTGTCCCCTGCATTGGCAGGCAGATTCTTAACCACTGTTCCACTAGGGAAATTCCATATTTTTAATTAATTTTTCTTAGAGTAGAGTTGCTTTACAATGTTGTGTTAGTTTCTGCTGTACAGCAAAGTGAATCAGTTATACATATAAATATACCCACTCTTTTTTAGATTTCCTTCCCATTTAGGTCACCACAGAGCACTGAGTAGAGTTCCCTGTGCTATACAGTAGGTTCTCATTAGTTATCTATTTTATACATAGTAGTGTATATATGTCAGTCCCAATCTCCCAGTTCGTCCCACCCCACCTTCCCCCGCTTGGTAACCATAAGTTTGTTCTCTACTTCTGTGACTCTATTTCTGCTTTGCAAATAAGTTTATCTGTACCATTTTTCTAGATTCCACATCCACTCCTTTAACCACTGACTCTGGTCACACTCGTGCTTTCCTTCTCTAACACCCTTCCATACTTAGAGTTTTTACCAAGTTGATTACCTTTCCAGTCTCTCTTCTTCAGTCTTTCCCCAGATAAGTCTGATTGAGAGGAGGGAGCATGTATTAATGTGCCCCAGGCACTCCACGTGTCCCAAATTAATTTTCTTTCTCTCCTCTTTCAATGTTTAATTCCACCAAGAGACATTTGTCCTTCTGTCTTCTTCTGACCCCAACCTTGTAGGTTTATGGGTACAAGTGTTAACATTCCAGAATTTTGTAATCTGATATTAGGGATCCAAGTACTTGTAACAGGAGTGGTAGAGACTAGTGGGGAGAGTTTAAGGCTGGGGTTAGAGCAGGACATCGGGGTCTTTCAACGATGTGCTTCTCAGACTCAGATAGTGAGTTGATCACCCGGCAATTGTTCGGCTGCAGGTGCTGATTCAGCAGGTGGTGGTGGGCAGAGATTCTGCAGGTCTAATGAGCTCATTACGTTGGTCTAAGGCCCACTCTTGGAATAGCAAGTACTTAAAGAATCAACATCAATGTACAGATTAAGAATCTTCTTTTGAGAATCTTACTCATTTAGGGTCACACTGAATGAGTAAAGATGCCTGATTTTAATGCAAATCATGGATCACATCCAAAGGGTAAGTTCTAACCAATGGCACCCTGCCTGTTGGCTTTTCGCAGGGGCTGTGGATGCCTGAAAAATTTAGTCTGGGGTTAACAATGTTCTTTGTCTCTTCCATCTTAGCACTTTTGGACGTGTGGAAGTCCATAACTTGAATCCAATGAAGGTTCATACACTACAGGCTTGGGTGATCCATGACCTTGGAAAATTTCCCAGGTATATGTTACTACCTTGTACCCATATATTCTCAGGGTTATTTCAGGAATCAGTCCATGAAAGAGTCCACAGTCACAGAAATGCATTGAGAAAGGACTGGCTCAGGAAATGAATGGGGCCTTACTCTACATTTACCCCATTCCAACAGTCTCTTAATTTTATTTCCATGGTAGGTATCTATGTAGTTCACACCTTTGGCTCCCCTGCTGACCTGTGAGCTCTTAGAAGCTACCTCTGCTTCACCTCTTTACCCCAGGGCCTTGACCAGGGCCTGCTACCTGGAAGAAACCAAGAGACTCAGGAAATGTTTGTGAGCTCTTGCTATTTTAACATTTTCTTCTTTTTTTTCCCAGTGACTCCTGCTCGGGTTCCTCCATAAATGATCTGAAATGGATTATAATGCAAAGGAATATCAAATTTACTTGCCAGGATAACTACAGGTAATTGATGTCTTCTTGAAGAAGAAATGGCTGTCTAGCCATCCACAGGCATCTTCCCTTGGGCCTTGATGGTGATCTGGGTGGTGACCTATGGTGAACTCTGCTCTTCCCCCAGCTCAGCCCAGAAGGTGTTTCCAGCCAGTGGCCTCCTGCTGTCCGCCTTCCTTCCTCTTTCTCTTCCTTCCACACCTGACTCAAGCAGTTATTTTCCTGTAAAGCTGACCCAGACTTTGAGGGCATCTTTCCTGGTTTCCCACATGAGAGGCCTGACCCAGAACTCATAGCTTTCAGAGGAGTAGAAGCACGTTTTGCCATAGGCAAAGGATTTATAAAATCCTTGTGATTTGGCATAATTTTGCAGGTGAGGTTTCTTTAGTTGGGTCTCAGTGTAGACGTCTAACACTTGGTAAATTGCCAAATGGCAGTTTACCAAGCTTTATCATTTTTTAATGAAAAAATGTAAAATCTTAAAAAAATACTTACCAGTAATACATGTTTATTGGAGAAAAGTTTACATTACGGATAGGTATATATATTTAAAGTCACCTGCAACCCTGTTATCAAAACTGGGACCCCTCTCCCCTCACTATTTTTAAGAAGTTGTGGCCAATACGTAATATAGACAGGGATCTTTGCTAAAAGCATCTTTGGAAATTTTCCCATATGTGATAGCTTGGAACAAGACAGATGCAGAGAGAAAACTTTTCTTAAGGAATGTAGAAGCTGAAACGTTAGGATACTTTTCCCATCACTTCCCTATCACCTCCCTTTCCCACCAACCATGTCAGAAAAACAGAAGGACAGATTCAAAGAACATTCACTGAGGCCTTTGTCTCTCAAATGACCTGAATTCCCCATCAGTCAGCTGGCTTCTCTCTGGAAACTGCCAGAAAATAACAGAAGCCTTCTACAACAGTTAGATGGGAAAACAAACAGAACAAAGGAACAACTATAAAAGAAACATGGCAAACATCTGACCAGGTTAAGTTACTCAAAGATACTTTGCATTGAGAAAATGGAATGCTAAAACCTAGGACAAGATTGGGGAATGTAGATGAGTCGTCCCCAACACTCTTTTATCTCTTTTCTTACATTAAGCATTCCCCATTTTTTTATGAATGGCCCAAACTGCAGGCTCTGGGTAAGCTCATTCATTCTCCACCTGGGAAGAATAATTAAGCAGCATACCTTCCCACCTGGATTTGTATAGTGGCTCACCTAGGAAGACGTGATTCATAAGCCAGCACCTGTCACTCAGAGCACCAGCTCATGTGACCTTAAACTTGGGGATCATATTTGAAATCCCTGTTGTTTTTCTCCACCCATGAGGTCATGATATACTCGGCATGCATCCTTGAATTACCAGGAGCCCTTGTTGTGTCTAAGAGTTCTGTGGCTTTGCAAGCTGCTTGTCTCTAGGGGAGCCCAAAGTGAATGTCATGGATATAGATGTAGACTGTAGTTTAAATCACTCCATCCCAAACATACTTTCCAATTTAGCCAAATTTGTCCCGCTGTTTCAGTGTGATTTTTTTAATAAGCAAACAGAATTGTAATTACATTTACATGGATTAGACCTTCTACTGATTCTATTACCTTTTAATAAATCTCATTACTCAGAGACAAACACGATTGACATATGGCTGTATATCCTTAAAGTCATTTTTTCCATACACACACTCAGTTTTATAAAATATACACAGATTTTCTTTTTTTTCTTTTTTAAATTTTTGCATTGGGTCTTCGTTGCTATGTGTGGGCTCCCTCCTTGCGTGGGCTTCTCATTGTGGTGGCTTCTTTTGTTGCAGAGCATGGGCTCTAGGCGCGCGGGCTTCAGTAGTTGTGGTTCATGGGCTCTAGAGCGCAGGCTCAGTAGTTGTGGCACACGGGCTTAGTTGCTCTGTGGCATGTAGGATGTTCCCGGACCAGGGATCGAACCCATGTCCCCTGCATTGGCGGCGGATTCCCAACCATTGTGCCACCAGGGATGTCCCCAGAATTTCTTAAGATATGTTTTAACCAGTGGAGTTAAAAGACTACTTTTTAGATTACTTTAAAAAAAACAAACAGTCAGATTGCTTTTTCTGGCTAGTGTGCTCTAGTGGCATATTAAAAAACCCTAAAGGTGCATTTCTCCTTTTATGTTATTTCAAGATACTCTGTCTCTATCCTCAATGTGTTTTCCAACATATCACAAGTGTGTCCATTTTACTGGAACATTGGATGTGGATATTTATATATTATTGGAGAGAGATTATCTTAACAGCACCATTGCTGCTCCTTTACCAAAATTGACTTCCCAATAAATGAGAAACTAATTAAGCAATGTCTTCCTATTCTCTTCATTTACTGTAAAGCAAAGGTAGCTTCAAAAATCCTAAATAGTCCTCTAAAGATTCCTTTTCTGAAGCATTATTTCCTTAAGGAAGAAGATACTTTTCCCTCCTAGAATGTATTCATGTGGGGAATCTCAGATCACTGTATTGGTGAGGATGGCTTGACTCTCTACTTAGAGCCACTATACCCAACTGGTCATGACAGTTGGCTAGAGATGAGCCTGAGATGGCCTATCCTAGAAATCCAGGGGTACTGGTAGCTGCTTCTAAGCCTCTCGCTCTCTCTCTTGACTCACATTTAGCAAAATCAGATTCAGCTGCAATTTAAGGAACCACTTACCCTGCTCTCCACCCCTCTCCTCCATGTGCTAACCACTCCCATTGGACCCTGTGGCTGTGTTATTTGATTTTTATGAAAGCAAGAGTCATTCACCTGCTAATACTTATCTAGGTTTCTTTCTGTGCCAGGGATTGCGGTCCTTTTGCTGATGGTCGCCAGCCATCTCCCAGAGAGTCTATGACCTCTTGCTGCCTGACGCTTAGACCCAACACTTCCTCAGGAAGTTTTTGAAGAGAAAGCAAATCCTCAACAGAAAATATGGAGGTCCCTCCTCTTAGGTTGCTGCTTCTGCTGCTTCCTGACTCTCAGCTGACATTCACGGCACATATCTGTGACTTGTGTGAGCCAGACATTTTCACCTCCACATATTATCATCAAACATCAGTTATTTATTTCTATGGCTTTACAAGTGAAATGAAGCTAAATTGGGCTGTACTTTCAGTCATTCACTCTTGGACTTGACCTTTCTCCTTGTTGTCACTGCAGGAAAGAGACTTGTGTGGATGCTAAGTGGTCCATGCGTAGTTTTGTCGTTAACAGAGGGGCTTCTTTCATTGGTGAGTTGACCATAGGTGTATTGTACTGCCTCTTGATCTCCTTTTTTCCTTTCTCGTCATAGCTCTGGCAAGTTCCTTCAGTGTGTGAAAAAGCCTGAGGATTCATCTTGCAGATGAGCCAGTCTGTGTGGTTGAGGCCCTGCAGTATACATCAAAATGCATGACTCAGGAGACACGCTGGTGGAAAGCTGAGGATTCAGGAGAATTCTCTGTCATAATATCAACACTGGAGATGGGAGCCTTTTCCTCTAGAGTCTTAAAATAACTTATGTTATTGGCATAGTTTTTATTTCGATCTCCTAATAGTCAAGAAAGATTAATTATTGTATAAAATTAGAGTGGAAATTTTATATTATTTCATTTTAATTTTCATATGATGCTTTATGTTATTAATATGTTGGTAACATCCTTTCCATTGAAGAATGACCACTCCAAGCCTCTCTTATTGGCAGGTCAAGAAAAGTAAATGCCCAGACTTTTCAGAAAAGGTTACATTTCCAAATGAATGACCTTGTTTCAGGATATATTTTTGTACCCTTCCTACAGATAAACTATAAATGCCATGGTTGTGGGTCATGTTGGGAAAAATATTCTGTAAGATATAAGCTACCCACATGCTTGGTGCTTTACCTCTAATCCTTCCGATAGCCCTATGAGGTTGATATTATTATCCCCCATTTTTCAAATGAGAAAAAGGAAGTTCAGAGAGTTTATATACTTTTCCCAAAATCATACATTTAGTTCAAGGTAGAGAATGAATTTGAACTCAGCTTTATTGAACTCCAAAATTCATGTGCTCTCGCTTTCTAGACTGATAAAACCAGATGGACAGCCCTTATGTTCTCTTCCAATAAATGCATGTTGGATTAAATTAAATACAATAGAACCTGAAATGTGATTTTCTAGATGGCTTCAAAACAGATACTTTTTTTGTCCTCTTCCTTCTCCTCCTTATTCTCTTATTTATGTAGGAGGCAGTTAAAATATATATATTTGTTCTTGATGTGACAATTTATTTCTCACTTGAATTTTACTTGATTAGTCTTCCTTGGGGATTATCACTTTTACTACTTTTTCAAAGAACCAACCTTTAACTTTGTTGATTTTCTCTTTCTACTTATTTGGGTTTTGCTTTTGTCTTTATTATTAGAGATATAGATATTCTAATCTCTTTGGGTTTCTTTATTCAGCTTCTTAAGATGGAACTTTAGATCATTGATTTTTCAGTACATTTTCTTTTCTTATATGTACATTTTAGCACTATAAATTTTTCTCTGAGTGCTGCTTTAGCTGCAGCTCTTAAAATGTTTGTATATGTCTCTTTTCATTATCATTTAGTTAAAAATATTTTCTGATTTAATTGTTATTTCAAAATGTGTTGCTTAATTTTTAAACATCTGGAGATTTTCTAGTTTTTTGGTTAAAACATAGATGCATTGAGTGAAGAATTAATAAGCTAATTTGAGAATCCTTCAGGGAACCCACTAGGTTTGTTGAAAACAGCATACATTTTGGAGTCAGACATTTCTGGGTTCATATTTTGGCATCATTCTGTGATCTAGAATGAAGTACCTAACCTCTCTGAAATTCAGCTTCTTTGTCACTTAAATAAGGATTATAAACTTACCCTCAACAAAATGTGGTAAGAACTAAAAAAGATGACAAAAATTGACAGTCTAGCATAGTGTCTCATATGTAAGAAATCACTCACCCAAGATTGGCTCCTTTCTGCCTGCCCCTGGTTGACAATCCTGTTTCCTTCAGCAGCCCTTACAGCTACAGCCTGTTCTCCACTTAGGCACATCCTTGTGGGATGTAGTCTTGGCTGGACATGAGAATGGATGCTAGGGACCAGTTCTGATTAAGATTCAGGCTTGCCTCCTGCCTACCTGCAGAAAGTCTTCAGAAATAGCTCCCTGCTAATCCACTGGGTAACCTGGCTGTTTTCTTCTCAAGACTCTGCCTTATTGTTGGGGTTGCTTGCTGAGTTCTTGATCCTTTAAGGTACCTTCCTGTTCACCAGGATACCCCGTGAAGTGGCTCCCTGTGTTAGGAAAATTTTGTTCTTTATGTCCCCTTTCAGAGATGAAATGGATTTAGTAAAAATCAATTTGTGAGAATCTTCCCCCAAGAAGACTCATTTAAGTGTTTATGGTCAAAGCTGGTGGAGACCAAAGAGGAGGCTGGTCCCAAGGCTTCACACGATGCTGCAGAGAGCCCTGAGGAGCCCTGGAGGTGGCTGGGGGCTGAGGTGCTATTTTCTTCTTGCAGCACCTTTGTATCTTCATTACCATGATGTTTCATTCCTGCCTCCGCCCTCTCTGTAGTTCCGATTTTGCACCTTTGCCATTGACCATGCACCTCTAGCCCTAAGGACTTTCTGGCCTATGTATCTAAATAGATCCTCCATATCGCTCTTCTTATAAGTGACATCTCTACTGAATTATTGACTGCTTATGACCCTCATATTTTACTCATAAACCTGCTATGCCCTGTCTCCCCACTTTATTCTTGTTTGCTCTAGGAAATCCTCTTACCATGCCAACTTGTACCCACCATCATACTCACTCAAAGGCTGAGTATGGGAATGACCCAGAACCTAATTTCCCTTTTCCAACTCCTAAAGGCTCTCTATTTTCCTTCTGTAATGGTTTATGACCTTATAATATTTGAGGCACACTTTCAAATAGATTTCTGATACTTGAAAGGATACACATACATACATATGTATGTATAAATGTGTGTATGTGTACACATACTTTTCTTTTTTTAATATATATATTTGTTTATTTTAAAACACTAGAAATTTATTCAACAAGACTTATTGACGACCTCTGTGCTAAGCACGGTTCTAGGTTTTGGGGATGCTCAAGTTAAATGCAAACAGAAAACAAATAAAAGCAATTGGTATTTTCAGAGTGCTTGGTTTCCACTAGACATTTATATACAAAACATGAAATAAGTGAGTTATATAACATATTAGGTGGTGATGAGTGCTACAGGGGAAAAAAGTGAGGAGGGACTTGCAATATTCAAAAGCGTGGTCAGGGAGAGTGACATAAGAAGCAGGTAAGAGGGGGAGCTCGCTCCTACCTGGGGCTGAGGAACGGTGTTCCAGGCAAAGTGCAAGCGCTCAGAGGTAAGAGCAAGATACACTTATTTGGAAAGAAAGTTGTCCAAAATGGCTGATGGACGCAGAGTCGAGGTGGTGAGAGCTTAGATCAGGGAATTGGGAGTGGAGAGTCAGATTATTTTGAGCTCTGTATCCTCTAATTCAAAGGATTTTAAATTAAATCTGAGTGAAAAGTCACTGAAGGTTTGTGTAGGGACTTGAAAGGCTGGCACTGATGTGGCTAATAATATTGATATGTTAAAAAATTTACAAAAATTACAAAAACTTTGACAATGCTTTGGAAAGAATTGAAGAGTGACTCTGAAAGCCTTTGTAGCCACGTTATCTTATTAGTGGTATAAAAAAGGACTCAGACTTCCTGTTTAATGCTTTATGTAATAGCAAAATGCAAAATATCCTATTTCATCCAGGAAGAACTTGATTTTCCTCTCATGGTGGGAAGCAAAAATATCTAGAAAACTATATGGCAGTAAAGTAAAATGCAGTTCTTTCTCAGAAAATTCTGCTTTAAAAGTAATTGAAAATACTGCTGCAACTGTAAAGGGAAGAGGATGTACACACACTTTTGTGTTACAAAAAACAGTGTCTCTCAATCCACAGTGATGCCGCATTCAGTGGGTCTTTCTTTAGCCCCATGTCACCGATTATGTTGTTCTGTTTCATGCCACATCTGTGTCTCTTACAGACCTGGCAGACAAGGCCAAGTATATATCAAATATTTTGGCAAAACACATTCTTTCTTTGGCTCGACAGCTTTCTGTGCATTTTAGCTCTTGTTGGAAACAAGCTCAACCCAGGAGTGCACACTCCCCGATGGAAAGGATGCAGCAGGAGCCATGTTGACTTACTTCCTGGCATCCCATTCCTCCTGAGAACAACTCCTAAGACTGTGACTCAAGCATCTCAGGTAGAATCTGTACTGCACAGAATGACTCTGTTTTTGTGGGTTTTTAAAAGGCAAGTACTTATGTATATAGAGAAATGTTCTGTATGGCAAATTAAAATTGTATGAAGTAAAATGTTAAACCTAGAGTATAACTTTAAGAGGCATTTTATAAATGCAATGTTAACCTAACATTTTTCTCACAGTTTTTTAAAAATAATGAAGCAATTTATTTTTACTACATGAGTCATCATTTTAATATGTGTTTTTTATCAATCCATCAGGGAGTCAGTTGCTACCCCGAGAGGCAGTGGTTGGCTGGCCCTCAGATCACACACACAAAGCACAGAAGGGTTGGAATTGGTCCCTGACAGCATTTGTCCTTGAACTTGATTCACATGGGTTCATATTGTCTTTTTCATCCTTGAATCAAAGTGCAAACAGCACAAGGTAGTGGGATTAAGAGACAAGTGACCCAGTGAGCAAGTTCATTAACATCTGTGAATCTCCAGTTTGGAATATATTTATAACAGATATAAATGAGTTGTACTGTAAAAATAATAAATGAGTAATAAAGGACTTTGTGGAATCATTCTTTTAACAACAATTGTGTCTGCGAATACCGCTTGACCTCACTTATATGCGGAATCTAAGAAAGTCAACTTTATATCAATAGTAACAGCAAATAGAATGGTGGTTACCAGGGCCTGGCGGGTGGGGGAAACTGGGAGATGCTGGTCAAAGGGTGTTGTGAAGTTTGGTTATAAGATGAACAAGCTCTGGAGACCTAGTGTACAACATGGTGACGAAGGTTAACAATACTGTGTTGTGTATTTGAAATTTTCTAAGAGAGTAGATCTCAAGTTTTTTCACCACACACACACACACACACACACACACACACACACACATAACTATGTGAGATGAATATGTTAATTAGATTGTGATAATCATTTCATAATGTATACCTATACCAAAACATCACATTGTATACCTCAAATATATATTTATTTGTCAATCATACCTCAGTGGAGCTGGGAAAAAACCTGCAACAATTATCTATGGGTTTGGAGGAAGAATTAAACCAGCTGGAGATGGGCTTCCAAAGGCAACACATCCTCTCACCTACCCCACCCCAAGGTCAAGTGAGTTGGGCAGCTGGAAGAGAGGAGGGATCATCATCCTGGGTATGTCTCGTGAGTGGGGGAGGCGGGAATAGGTGCCCAGAGGAGTCCAAACTCACAGTCTGTTGAAGACCTGAAAACCCTCACCCATTCCTCTTTGTCCTCGGAGACATCAAAGAAGGAATAGTGCTGTTTGCGTTCCAACAAGAATCTCAGCTTGGAGAATCACGTGATGACACACCTTTTTTTTGTTAAGAAAACTCACTTGAGACTTTCCAAGAGTCTATGTGATGACATCATGAAATTTGTGATTCTTAATAAGGGATGTAAGTGTGAAACAACATTTAAAATCTTGATACACCATGCAGACTTGCAGAGAAGAGAAAACTAACACGTGTTGTACACATGTATCAACCAGTGACTTCAGCTGCAACGGCTGAATACAACTCTGGCTGGAAATACATTTTCTAGGGAATCTCAGAGGCTGACAGGTTCTCTGGGAGGGCAGGAGAACAGTTTGGAAGCCACTTAGTCAAGAGCAGCACCCCAAATGATTCCACAGACCGGGCAGGTAGAGGAGTCGTTCTTGCCCTAAGGGCACTCAGTTGTCTCTTTGTCACTGTCAGACGTGGCCGTTGTTGTTTCTGGGAGTAGAAATAACTGAAGTGAATGGCGCATGGTGGAAGCACACGGAGCATGGCACCTGCCTCCCAGGTCTGCTAGCCTCACGTTGACGGTCATACAGCTCCGTCTGATCTCTAGGGCCTGACACATGTAAAGTGCTTAGAACAGAGCTCAGTTTCTCTACCTGTAAAATGGGGGTGATAATTGTATCCATCTCTTTGGGTTGTTTAAGCTTTAAGTGAGAAAATAGATGTACAGTTCTCAGAATAGTGCATAACACATAGAGTACCATCAAGGTTAGTTTTTTAAATTCAAAAAAATGCTAGAACCTGTTTTTATTCTGGAGGAAATTGCTTGACGAGCCTACTTGGTTTGGAAGCTGAGACCCTGTGACCCTGTGGGCAATGGAGAAGAGGGTAGGGAATGGCCCTCTTGCCAATGAGCAGGGTCAGCCACACTTTCTCTCATCCTAGGTGAGTTTTGAATCATCCTAGATGGTTAATACTTGCCCACTTGAGAGGACTGGGCCAGGGATCCTCCTAAGACCTTTCACTAAGAGCTGGCTCCCATCGCAAGCTGGATATTGACAAAAGGTATCAACATGACCACTGCCCCCCAAACATCAATCTAAGAACTATACTTTTCATTCTTCAAGCCCACCCAGAGTTCAACAACCCCCGCTGTCATTGCCAATCCAAGCCCCTGCTCTCCCGACCACCCACTACGCTGGTGGCTGTAAAGGTGGGCAGCTCTCCTTGCTAGAATAAAATCAGAAGACAAAAGCACTGGAAGAAAAAAAATGTGCTGGAAGGACAAGCTCCCTCCCAATGAATATTGTACTGAAAGGGCACTGGAAAAGGGTAAGACTGGGAAGAAATAAGGTAGCTAACTGGAGCCTTTGGTGCAAGAACAAATCTCCCTTTGTGAAATCTCCCAGTTCAGTTCCACAGAGCTGCCTTCCAGGGAATTTCCTGGAGTGGGTAGAATAATCAGATCCAAGTTGACTGCTGGAGGGAGAAAAGCGCCTTGGGAACCACTAGGTCTCAGGTCACCCTTAGCTGCTGGGAGTCTTTGACTTTGGCCCCGGGCCACAGAAGTCACGAGCTTCTGCACGCACAGCTTGGCTCTTGTTGCGGAGCACGGGCTCTAGATGTTCAGGCTTCAGTAGTTGCAGCACGTGGGCTCAGTATATGTGGCTCACGGGCTTTAGAGCGCAGGCTTAGTAATTGTGGCGCATGGGCTTAGCTGCTCCGCGGCATGTGGGATCTTCCCGGACCAGGGATTGAACCTGTGTCGCCTGCATTGGCAGGCAGATTCTTAACCACTGCGCCACCAGGGAAGTCCCTCCATTATTTTCTTCTTTTTCTTTTTCAATGAATAGTATTCCCCAACCCCACCCCACCCCCATTTTAAAATAGGAACATGGTTTTCCAGCCACAGAATGAAGACAAGTGAAGAAAGCGATGAGCTTGACTGAAATCAGCTCAGTGCTTTTTGACCACCTAGAGGGGTGGAATAGGGAGGATGGGAGGGAGATGCAAGAGGGAGGGGATATGAGGATATATGTATACGTATAGCTGATTCCCTTTGTTATACAGCAGAAACTAACACAGCATTGTAAAGCAATTATACTCTAATAAAGACGTTAAAAATAATAATATTTAATATATATTAAAATGTAATAACCATAAAGAAAAAAACGAAAAGAGCAAGAAGGTGGTGAGACAGCACAGGAGGAACTGGGACAGCTACTCTGACAAGTGAAATATATGGCATTCATGGAATTAATTTAGTCCTAGTGCTGAAGGCAGGGCCCTAGAATGGCTGCTTTTTATTCTAAAGGCATAGATTGGGACCAATTCTGGCCCTCCCTGGGATACAGAGATCAATTAGGTTGAGTCCTCATCTTGAAGAACTCATAGTCTAGAGGGGACAAATAAAAGGAAAAATCAGTTCATTGATTCAGTCATTCATTGATTTGTTCAGCAAGCTTTATTAAGCCCCCATTATCTACCAGTCAAACCACCACGACCCCTCAGCTCTCCATCCATACCTCCAAGACACGGTTTATAGTATTGGTCTGTTTATATGTGTGTTTCCTCTACTACCTCTAAGCTTTTAGAAGACAGACACTCTGTCTTTTTCATTACTTTAATCCCAGTAACATAGTACTTATTGGCTGAAACAAGGATAACATATTAAAACCCAAAATTAAATCATAAAAGATGAAATAAAAGAGATTCTAAAATCAATACAAACAGCAGCAAATTGACCCAACTGTACATCTTATCGATAACTCAACCACCCAGGCGTAAGGGATTAATTCCAGTTTTGTTTGAACATAACATCCTGACTGTGCACTATTATTGGGGTATATTCTAAGGATGTAAATAACCACAAATAAATCTTGAACTTAAAAAAAATATATGTTAAAATATTGACTAATTTTCTGGCCACGCTGTGCAGCTTGTGGGATCTTAGTTCCCCGACCAGGGCTGGAACTCGCGCCCCCTGCATTGGAAGCAAGGAGTCTTAACCACTGGACCACCAGGGAAGTCCCTAAATCGTGAACTTTAATCAATAAGTTTGTACTGACATATATCATGTTTTGTAGGTTAGATGAAATATCACAAAGAATGAATATATAAAGTGATAAAGATAAAGAAAACACTCTGGTGTTGGATTTGAATGGATGGGATCACTGTGAACTCATACGTATTTGCAGATGCAAAATTGTTTAGCTACTTTGCTATTTTGCCATATTTATTTTAATTTCTCTGAGGTCCTAATTCAACAACATATGTTGAACGCTTACTATATTCCAGACCCTATACTGAGAAGTTTACGTGAAATATTTCATTTAATTTTCAGCACTGCACTTTGTGGTTTGTACAACTCTTATTAAAAAGGT